AATAGCTCGAAATTCCCCTTCTCTAGCTTTAATTGCCTTGGGTTTACCTTAATTGCTCTTATTCCCTTCAATTTTTGGGTAGTTTCCATGAGCTTCCCCCTGCACTACCGCTGGCTTCTTCTCCCCGCAGCTCTGGTTCCTTGCATGCAAATTCTGGTATGTGGCAGCCCTCCAAGCCCTGAATTTGTCCATTTATTTGCTTTTAATTGCTGCCCTATTGTGTGTCCGAATTGTGTTGGAAAAATGGGGGAATTCCGGTGGCTTTAGGACAAAGTTTAAGAATTAATTCAAGTGAGATTTATGTGATTGAGTGTTAATTGACTGTTGTGTGATTTTTGGAGAAAATCCCGTGAATTAGGTAGTGTTTTGGCCAATTTTTTGGAAGTTGGAGTTACTGTTCACGTCGTGGATACTGTTCACGGCACTGTTCATAATTACTGTTCACACACGGAGGGTTAACCATTAATGGGGATTTAAATGATTAGTTTGTAATATAAGAACGAATTTGGAGATATCTGATAATGTGGAGATTTATAGAAATAGCATCGTGATTAAGGGTAGTCTTAATGATGATTTCAGTGTGAATTTGTAATAGTACGGTATTAATTCTCGGATATTTGATTAGGTTCTTGATCCTTGGGGTACTTTAGTACGTGAATTGAGTGCTCGATTTTATGCGATTTCAGGTAAATAAATTTATGGTAATGCCCGTACAATTTTTAAAAGCATGTTTTGACTTGTTTTTGAAGTGGTGGCAGGATTGAATCCGTTTTATACAAAAGTATGACTGATTTGAAGTGAAATGTTTATGCTTTTCATTAAATTGAGCATGCCTACTTGAAAGTTTAATTGATTATCCTGATGATTTGAAAGTGATTGGTGAATTATGATTTTTCTGTTAACCTCTGCCTGTTTTGTCTCCGATATGGTCATGTTATTCGTGTGCCCGCTAGTGGGAGATTTATAAACGCTAGCACATGTCAACATGTTAGTGATAGAATCGGTTCATTCAACCCTGCTAGTGGGGGTTATACACCAGTAAATCGTGTGCCTGTCAGTGGGAGATTTATAACACTGGCCGTGATCTATAGAGTAGACGTCTATTTTGTTCCCGTACTGTATCCATTTTTCGTAATTGCACATGTTGGCATGCTACAAGTTTAATTAAGGGCACTACATATTTTGCTTACTGAGTTTATCTCATAGTTTTTCCTTGTCCACCATTTCAGGAAGCGAAACCGAGGACGGGGAATCACGGGAAGTGACAAGTTAGAAAGCTAGCCATTTTGAGATTTGATATAGATTTTAGAAATAGATCATGATCTTATAAGCTAAACTGTATTGGAGATTTTATGATATCAGAGAAAATTTTATAATTTGATCTTCAAATTTTTGTGGTATCAGATTGTGATATGATTAGTTCCGAGCCTTGTGCATTTGTGGGACCTTCTCACGAGTACACTGCATCTGTCGCACTTCGAATTTGATTTTATTATTTTTTTTGACAGATACCTTTTATTTTATTACTTTTTTTGACAAAAAAAAATATAAATTAAGAAGTTAGTATCTGCATAAATTAAAATCAAATTAAAAAAATGTACGAACTATACCTGTTATTCACGGAACAACGTGACCATATGGGAGAGTTCAGATACCTTTTATTAAAAGAACTCAAGATGAGATAAAATATAACGATAATAGTCATCTCATCCTTTGTTTTGACCCGATCAAACATGTGATATAATTTTGTCCCATCTCACTGTTTATCAGGCGCGCCAATCGCGCTGTTGGTGGACTAATCGATCATCGACGCTACGGACCCCACATGCAGCAGCAACCCAGGCACGCATTTCGTCGCGTCTTACTTACACCTCGTTACAAATCTCGTGCAGTCGTGCTCACGTTGCAATCATGGTGTTAGGTATACAATTATTTCACAAAAATGTAAACAAAGACGATCCTGCCAAATCGTTAGGTTTAGAATCTTGCAATTTTATTCAATTAGAATTTTCCGAACTTCTAGAGGAAATGAGAAAATATGCTTCTGAAAGAGTTAGGTGTTGACTTTCACTTTACGTTCTTCATTCTTTTTTCTATAACCAATGAAATAAAGCAAAGCTGGAAATCTTGCTCAAAATCAATAGGAGGCCCATTACAAACTTTCTGCTGTCCGTATCTTTTTGCAAAAACCATGGAATCAAAGGCAATAAACCTGGGAAATTCCCTGCTGGTGCCTTGTGTTCAGGAGTTGGCAAGAGATAAGTCCTTGACAACAATCCCACCTAGGTATATCCGTTATGACCAACAGCAGCCTATTGTCTCGGATGAGGTATCTCAAATCCCAGTCATCGATATGCGGAGCTTGCTCTCTGAAGAATCAATGGAAGCAGAATCAGCCAAACTTGACTGTGCTTGTAGAGAATGGGGATTCTTCCAGGTACATCTTTATCCTCATACTAATATCACAAAAACTTGGAATTTTTTTTTATTGAGTTGTCGATTTACATAGTAGATTCTATAAATCTTGGCTAGAAACAGCTAAGTTACAGCCTACCCTTTTTTATTCTGATCAATCAGCTTATCATTTCTTTGATCAATCTTTGACTAGAATTGCTAAGTTACAGCTTACTCTTTTTTTATTTTGATCAATCAACTTACCATTACTTTGATCCTTACCTTGCACTCGGTCCTTTAAAAAAAAAAAATTATATAAATTTTTTTTTGAAGAAAAAATGCACTTGGGCTAATCATGGCTCAATTGAATATGCCCAGTGTAACTAACATTATTAAAATAAGGTTATTGTCATACTTTTAAATTTAATTAGATTATTTAACTCTTGAAATTAATCATATCTTATAATTATAAGTTAAATAATTTTTCTTTTTTCTTTTTTCCTTAATCACAAATTCTATTAATCTCATAAGTCAAACATGACTACCTAATAAATGTTTTTTTTTTTTTTGGAAATAAATGCAAATTTATCTGATTTCCAGAATGAAAAGCAAATCCAATAATGCAATTTCGACTTGTCATTAAAAAAGTGAGATTAGGGTATAAATAGGAGAGAGAAACAAGAACAATGAAAATTAAATAAAGATAATTTCTTTTTTAACATTAGAAAATCGAGAAAAGAGGTATAACATTACAAAAAATTGAACTATATATAGTAAAGTTTATGATCAAGGTGCACCCTACAAATCCAACTACAACTACGGGTGCAAATAAGTGAAGGTAAATTTGAGAAACGAAAAAGCCATATATATATTTAACAGATTGAAATTAGTTATATATATTAATCAATTGGGAAGAGGAAATAAGATCCATGGAGCTTAAACATGTCACCCACAGAAAATGAACTACCCTAATCCAAGATCCATGTCACTAGGTCAAAGCAGGCTATTTGAAAAAACCATATATTTAATTGAAACAAAATTAAAGATGTGGTATTGACCTAAAAGGGTGGAGCAAATTGCAATAGCCCTGCCGATGTTCCTACACTCATCAATTATATTGGCAGGATGGGATTTGCGATGTATAGGAGAGTAATATATTTGTTGAATAGATCACCATTGGTTGAGTATACTCAATTTCTGATGATATAGGCCCGATTGATTGATTTAATAGATTTGCAATTTCAAAATCAGATATTTGGCAGAATAAGAAGAGCAGAAAAGGGTTACTTGAACACATTCATCATTGATTGAATTCTTCTTACTTTGCTATTATAATAATATTTTTATGGATATGCATTATTTATAAATTATTTAACTCTCAAAACATCATCTTGTATTCAAAAATATTTAAAAATTAAAGTAGCATAAAAAGGTAGAAGAATATAGAGGAGCTTCTCTCTTTTGAGAAAAATAATGTCTTATGTATAAAATTTTTTATTTTGTAATTATTATTTATAAGTTAATTATAGGAATAAATTGAGTAATTACTATAAAATAATGTGCCCTAAGGAAGGTAATTAATTTATAACAGTTAGTCTAATCAAAT